AATATTTACTTAGTTCCAATAAAAATTTATTTGGTTCTAGTAAATATTTATTTGGTTCGAGTAAATATTTCCTTGGTTCGAGTAAATATTTCTTTGGTTCCAGTAAATATTTACTTGGTTCCTGTAAATATTTACTTGGTTCCAGTAAATATTTACTTGGTTCCAATAAATATTTATTTGTTTCTAGTAAATATTTACTGGAACCAAATAAATATTTATTGGAACCAAGTAAATATTTACTGGAACCAAATAAATATTTACTAGAAACAAATAAATATTTTTTGGAAGCAAGTAAATATTTACTAGAAACAAATAAATATTTATTGGAACCAAGTAAATATTTACTGGAACCAAATAAATATTTATTGTAACCAAGTAAATATTTATTTAGTTCCAGTAAATATTTACTTGGTTCCAATAAATATTTATTTGGTTCCAGTAAATACATACTTGGTTCCAATAAATATTTATTTAATAATAGTCAAGTAACCGATTATTTGAATCAAATAAATATTTTTTTCAGTGTAAATAAGTGGAAATGAACTGTTACAATTAGGGGGAATGATGCGAAATTAAATCCGTTTGAGAGAGGGGAAACGGTAAAGTTGGGAAGTAGAGATTATGTTGTTTGTTTACGTTATAATTTTCGATATTATATATATCGAGCAGTATCGATTGATTGGTATTGCACTTTTTTGGTTGCTTCTGAGAGGAATTGTTTTCATTCAAGGAAAATGTGTTTAATTTCGGTAGGGGAGACCGAGGAGGAAAGTAACAAAAATCAGTTTTTTTATGCTAGCATTAAAAATATTAGTCGGATAAATTTGTCCAATATATTAAATGAAAGCTTGGACATTCACCTTTTAAATAAAATTTGAATTAAACATTTATAATAAATTGACAGTTCACAGTATAACTTTTACGCAAGCTCTTCATCTGTTACTTTCCTCCTCACCCCCGAGGAGGAAAGTAACAGTATAAAATTATGTAAAATTCTTTAGACTAATGACTATTATTAATTAGAAATATTTTTATTAGGAACACATAAAAGTTTAAGTACACTTTATACTTATTTGGCACATATTTGGGACATATTTAGCACATATTTCGAACATTTTATGAATTTAGCTCATTTTTTTTCTTAAACATATTTTATGCTTACCTAGATCACAGGTTTTTCTTAAATAAATCTCTGTTATTAGTAAAATTAAATACGATTTGCTTCAATCATTAGTTAAAACATGGACAATATCGACAACAGGAGAAAAGTAGCGTGTTACTTTCCTCCTCGGTCGCTTTTTTCTTGTATGTCAACAAAAAAGTTAAAACTACACAAATGTTAAATTGTTTGTTTAAGCACAACTTAAAGACAGATAATAAGGCTACAAAATAACGAAAGGCACATTTTGAAAAACAATAAAATTAAAGAAATACGAGACTTTGAAAATTTGAACGAAAACTTACTTTTGACGTTTTTTCTGCACATCACACCGGAATCAGACCTAACCTTTCCTGTCAGGCTCGGACACACTATGGAGGAGGAAGGGGGAACAGTGCCGACTAAAAATATGTTTGAACCATGTCTATCCGATAATTTGTTTAAAAGTTATAAGCTTTGTTACTTTCCTCCTCTGTTACTTTCCTCCTCGGTCTCCCCTATACGGTGAAAAAAAAAATTATTTCGATCAAATAAAAAATTATTGGTATAAAATAAAAATTACACTGAAAAAACAATTAATATTACAATAAAAATAATTATTTCGACAAAATAAAAATTATTTAATCCAAATAAATTACTTTTCTATTATCCATTAAATTTGAATTTAAACCAAATAAATATTTTCTAGACGTAAATATTTCAGTGAAAAATTATTAACTATTTGAAAAAAAATTTATTATTTTAAGAAATTATTTTTTAGAATCAGTTAATTATAGTTAATTATAATTTATCTGGTTTAAATATAGTGTAATACAAATAATTCAAGGTTAATATATTTTTTAAAGGGAAATAAAAAATATTTAATCCAAGTAAATATTTTTCAATATATTAAAATATAATTAATATAATTAATAATATACTCATATTTAATATAGTTTGAATTGAAGTAATTTTTTTTCACTATACCTATATTCGAAATTATATTGGAAATAATAAAAACCGCAATTTAAAGCTTAAAAAATTTTTTCTTTAAAGAAAAATTCTTTTCCGATATATATAATATATGGTTAAAAACAATTAGATGGTAATTTGTGTGCGAAACCGGAAATAGGAGGACAATATTAACTATATTTACAACTATCGTAACTAATTGGCTGGGTTATAAATATAAAAAAAAAAAGCGTTAAACAATCTTCATTAGGAGACTAAACTGATAATGTTAATGTCCATTTAAAAATAGTCTTTATACTATAATGATATAGGAAATGTACATAAATGCACCATGTACATACGTTGAAATATCTATGGAATGATGTATTTATTTACCGCTTGCAATTGATAATTCCAATTAACACAAAATTTACTTTCTAGATTATCGTTCCTAATTGCTTTGAAAAGACCGATATATACATACATATATATAGATATTTTACAATATACTTAGTAGAAATACTAATTAAGGGAAAAAACAAGTTTTTGCTTGAGAAACTAAACTGATATTATAAGCCCTTTATCAATATATTATTTTTTTTTTTTTTACCAAAATAGTAAATTTTTACAAGTTATAAATTAAAAAAAAAAAAAAATTTAAACTAAAAGTAATTTTAGAGGAAAATAATATTCAATTGGTTTCTATATATATTGATGATAAATGGAGTAAATTGTTTCTTTCAATTTTGTTATTATATTCGTCGCGACATATCAGAGATTGTCATTTGTTACTTAAACTTATTTAAGCAAATTATTTCGGGCACGTACCATGGGTCAGGGTTGATACATATACCGTGAGTGATTTAATCGACTATCCGGATGATAATAATAATAATAATAATAATAATTTTGAGCCTCGTGCCTCTATAATATGGTCCATTGCTATCAGTGCCCTGACCCCTTTCAATCCAATAAATTAATTATTGTCTCTCATTGAAAAAAATCTATTTTTAATCGAATCATATTTAACCTAAACCTTAATTCATTAACTTTAAATCGTTTATTCATACCTTTGTAACCATTCAAAATGGCAACAATAAATAGAATTTATGTTTTTTTCTTCTTCGTATTTCTTTCAAATAAAATTGATTAAGGTAAATATTTATTTGATAATAGTCGATTATTTGGAATCAAATTTTTTTTAAAGTGAAGGAAAATTAATATATTTTTTGTAAACTAATTATAATTCTAGTTATGTAACAAATTAATGTATAGAAAAAAAATGGTTTTTTTTTTGCAAAAATTCTGTATAATTAAAGTAATGTCTTTGCAACTTGTATATATAATGAGGAAGTTGAAAAACATGGCATTCCGGATTCTCACAAATAAGAAATAGTCAGTATGACTAGAATTATTAAAATTCCTTTAATATGTAAGTTATATATTGAATCGTTTGAGAGATATTAATCTTTTGTGAATATATAACTTTCTTTTGAAAATTGTTTATATAATTCAAAAATTGTTGAACTGAAATCTGCAGGACATTTTGAAAATATAAATTTTTATGTTTTAATTGAAATAATTTTTTCGCATTAAAAATTACTACAATAAAAAGTATAAAAAAAAACATTTTAACGTTTATTAAATTATTATAATTTTAAATTATTTATTATTATAATTATTATTATTATATTAATAATAACAAATTATTAATTAATTAATTATTAATTAATTAATTATTGTTAATTATTATTATTATTAATTATTAATTTTTTCAATATTTTATAAGTTGTCAAAATTTTCAAGTTGATTTCAACTTATAATATTGAAATTATTTCGTAAAATATTTATGATAAAAATTTTGCAGCAATTAAAATATATTTTCTATTGTAATTATAAATTGAATTTTAGTGAGAATTTTTTTTTTTTTATATAATATACAAATTCGCAAAGTTATAATACACAGAGATGATAATAGGTAACTTGAAACTGAACCAAAACTTCCTTAACCACAATAAACGGGCGTCTTCTCTTCTCTCTCAAAGTTTCATATTCCTTGACTTGGCTCGCATTTTGCTCTTCAGAGGTTTAGGAGGTGGTTTACGTATAATAATACGTAATCTATCTAACGACGCGTGAGAAAGTGCCATTCGCAGGTTTCTGCCCCACTGAAAATGTAGCATAGACGATGCATGAGATCGTTCATCCAACCAAAATAACGCACACATTTCGGTCACTTGGTATCGAGACACTGTTCGTTGACCATCGAAAATTACGATTTTCCACAAAATTGTCCAATATATATATAGGCGAACAAAAAAATAACTAAATCGGTCAATGTTCATTTTTAATTCAAAAATTTATATGAAAATTAATTTTAATTAAAATTTAAATTAATTTTAATTATAATTAAAATTTAAATTAATTTTAATTTTAATTAAAATTTAAATTAATTTTAATTATAATTAAAATTTAAATTAATTTTAATTATAATTAAAATTTAAAATTAATTTTATTTTTTAATTTTAATTAAAATTTAAAATTAATTTTATATTACAGAAAAAAAATAATTACGTACCTATAAATATGTAATAAAATTAAAATTATAAATAATTATACGTAATTTTATTTTATAATTAATTAATTTGTTGAATAGAAAAAAAATAATTTTTTTAAATAAACAAATATTTACTTGTGAAAATTTGATAGACAATTTATGCAATTTTTGTTTTTGTTTTGCGTATGCGTTATAATAAATTTATTTTTCGTTAAAAAGGATAATAAAAATTGTTTTAATTTTATCTGCTTTATTTTTTAATTTTCGCTTGTTATTAATTTCATGTTACAAAATTGAATATTTTTAATTTTTCTAGTTTTTGTTAATAATAAATGTTAATTTTTTATTTTACAGATTCATGATGTAGTTTTCAAAGTGCCTCGCGAAGGAGTTGATTCCCAAAAAGTGAGTTGAATTTATAATTTTATTGAATTATATATAGTACACTGAAAAAAAAATTTATTTGATTCAAATACCGGTGTATTTGGTTATTATCAAATAAATATTTATTACGAAGCTGAAGTACGCAACGTTTCTATAAACGATTTTTAAATAAATAATTTTTTAAAATAAAAAATTCTATAATTTTTTGCCTAAAAAATATTTTTTTATAATTTGTTGATTAATGAAAACGACAAGAAATATTTTTTAGGCAAAAAATTATAGAATTTTTCATTTTAAAAAATTATTTCTTTAAAAATCATTTATATAAACGTTGCGTACTTCAGCCTCGTTATTTATTTGAATCAAATATTTCAGTATTTGAAGCAAATACAATTTATTTGATTCAAATAAAAAATATATTTGATTCAAGTAAATATTTATTTGATAATAACCAAATACACCGGTATTTGAATCAAATAAATTTTTTTTTCATTGTAATAATTTATAATAATAATAATAATTAATTTTTCGATTTGAAAGAAATATTTTAGATAAATTATATTTTATTAGGAATATTAAAAATTTTTTTAATTCCATTTATAGAAACAAATTTTTTATTTTGTTGTAAATAATTTTTTTTAAAATTCAAAAAAAAAAATAGAATAAAAATGATAGTAGAAAGTTGAAACCAATAGAGTACCGCGTTATTATAATTCCAAATAAGTACAAAATTCTCCAATTTAAGCGACGCGAATTCTATTTTTTATATATATATATAAATTCCGGCAGAAGTTCTTCGCTTCTTGATTTTTTTTCCTCTCTCTCTCTCTCCTGGTTGTAATTGTTCTTCATTGTTCTCGAATCGTAAAGAATATAATGAAAAGTATATATATAAAGTATTTGCCATATATAGTTAAGTAACGAAGCTGGCTCAGAAACATTGTTGTTGTGGCCGTCGAGGTTGTGGCTTCTGCCTATAACACAGTTCACAGTTCGTCGCGAGAGTGTCACTAAAAGCATAATATATATATGTATATTTACCGCAAAATACTATATCAGTTACTTCGAAAATTTTGTCAAATATATTATGGTGGTAAAAAAAAATTTTCAACGATCAAAAAATAAAAAAACAGAAAATAGCTAAAGCCCCTAAATTGAAGCGGAAAATTATAAAAAAAATTTCTCCTAATAATCTATTTATTATTTACTGAAATATAAAAAATTATAAAAATAAATAATAATTATTATTATTAATAATAATAAATAAATTTTATTTTTATAATAATTTATTTCCATATATAGATTTTTTTGATTGTTTTTTTTTCAATTCAAAAAACTTTTCCTTTTTTCCATATAAAACACACACGTGCGTTTCTTCCCCTTTTTTATATTTACAATTTTTTATTTGCGATAAAAAAAAAAAAAAAAAAAAATTGTGACCTCGTAAAAAAAAAGATCAAGTCTCTTCTTTTTTTGATATGTATTTTTATCATAGGAATACATATACTTAAAATATTGTATTTGAAGTGTTCTCAAGGGACATGTTGACTATTTTGCCCCTGATAAAAAAAAAAAAAAACCAATTTTCGGTTATAAAAAAGAAAGGAAAAAAATTAACTTTAACTTTGAAATCAGGAAGTGTTATATACACTGTTAGATTGGATTCGTAATAGAGAGAAAATTCCATATTTTAGTAATTCATTCATGTCATATGACACGCGGGGCAGGAAATATACACGTGGCACTTGAAATTCATCGCAAAATTTTGGTGTGCTGCTGACGATCGATCGTGTGCGCTAGGATGAAGCATCCTGCTACTACACTCCATCCCAGGATTAATGTCACCCCAATTCTGACATATATAGCGCGAAATGTGACTTTATTATTGACGTGGCGCATACTCAACTCCCACAGCAGATTATTATTTTTTCCTTCTTTTTTTTTTTTTTTTTTATTTTTTCGCAAAATCAAATAATTTTCCTGCAAACAACTTTTTCTCTTTTTGTTTTTCTATCTATTGCTTTATAAATAATAATAAAACAAAATCTGTTCAATAATAATAATAATAATTAATAATGGTAAAATAATAAATAAATTAATAATACAAAAATTAACAATAACAAAATTACAATAATAATAATAATAATAATAATAAATTAATTAATAATAATACAAAAATTAATTTAAAAAAAGGCCTAGAGAAAAATTCAAAAAACGGTTTAAAAAAAAATTATAAATTTGTTTAAATTGAAAAAATGTTTATTCAATTTTGGAAAAAAACCTTTTTCCATTATTATCTGTTATTTATAGATAAAAATACGTTATTCTTAATATACCTATTATATATACGTTTATGCATCCTTTATATCTTAGAGGAAACTCCATGCCATTCTTTACCCGGCTTAATGTATAACTTAACGTTGCTCGCGTGTTTTACGAATCGGCTTACGACGTCGTTTGCATTTTAGCGCTCGTTCGGCTTCCATACAACTTGTAATATGAATATGTGAGAGAGAGGAGGAAAAAAAAAAGACTTTTCTGACACCTAAAGCTTTGAGAATTAAACTCTATCGGGCACATGAACATGTAAAACATTATATGAAAAAAGAACTTTAAAAAAAAAAAACTCCTGTAATTTATTGTAGGATTTTTCAAATATTTTTCCCTACAAACAAATGTGGAATTTTTTTTTTTATATAATCCATGAGAATTCTTAAATACCGCACAAGAGTCGAGATTTTTTTTTGTATTTTAGAAATAAAAATGTTGTCGATATATTGATTTAGGACAAAATATTTTAAGAATGTTAATCGAATTCCATTAATTAGAATATGTTTGTTAGATAAAGGAACTGGTACAAGCGATGTAGGTCTAAATTGTTCTGAATTGAATTTTTAATTAATGAATTAATTTGTTTAATTATTTATTTATTAATTAGTTTATTAATTCATTTATTCATTAATTTATTTAATTATTAATTTATTTATTTACTAATTACTAATTTACTAATATTTAACAATTTATTCATTAATTTATTTACTAATTTGTTCAATTATTTATTTGTTTATTAATTCAGTCAATTGTTCATTAATTTATTCATTGAAGAATTAATTTATTAAATAATTCATTTATTAATTAATTAGTTTATTAATGCACTGAAAAAAAATTTATTTGATTCAAATACCGGTGTATTTGGTTATTATCAAATAAATATTTACTTGAATCAAATATTTCTTATTTGAATCAAATAAATGATATTTGCTTCAAAATACTGAAATATTTGATTCAAGTAAATATTTATTTGATAATAACCAAATACACCGGTATTTGAATCAAATAAATTTTTTTTTCAGTGTGTACCTATGTATTAATTTTTTTATTTAATTGTAATTTTATTCATTTATTAATGAATGAATGAATTTATTTATGTATTTATTTATTAATTAATTCTTTTTTTAATTACCGATGCTGTCCCAGATTCCGTACAGTTTAATTTTGAAGATGGCATTTATAAAAATATTATTTTCTTTTATTTGTTTACTTAAACTAATACAGTCCATTGTATGCCAAAAAGAATAAAATTATTCAAAAGTAATTTAAATTATTGTACGCGATATTTGTCAAAATAGACGGAAACTGGGACAACGACGGTAATTTATTCAGTAATTAATTAATTTAATATATTTTTTTAAACTATTTTATTAATTAATTAATTATTTTATTAAATTATTTATTTTATTTAATAATTAATTTACTAAATAATTAACTAATATATTACTGTGTTAATTAATTTATTATTAAATATTTTATTAATTAATTTATTCACTTATTAATTAATTCATGTCATTTCTTTATTTATTTTTTTATTTTTTACTAGATAAATTTTTTTTAAAAATGACAAAATTTATTTCGTAAATATACGATTTTCTCCTTTTTTTGCAGTATTATTGAATGAAAATTTTAATGAATTAATATATATATATATATATAGTCTAAAAGTAAGGGAAAAGAGTAAAATCCGCGAGCATATTCTAAAAATGAAACAAAAGTAACCTCATTTCTTTTTTAATGGTAGAGATCCCTTTCAGAAAATACTCACGGCATTCACGTACCTATATTCTTTTTTTTTTCATCTCTCCCTTAATATTGAGAGAAAAAGAGTGAGTGAGAGAGAGAGAGGTTGAGCGAATTTTTTTTCCGCGAGTGCGCGCGTCATTAGAGCTTCATTCCGTAAAGCTGAAGTTTCTACTCTTGTAATACTCGAGCCGAGTCTGAATGAGAGTCCTCCAGCCGATTCTTGTAGAAATCATTCATATCCTTCACGAGAGATTCTCTTCTATATATAGAGGATAAATTTTTCACCGGCAAATTTTTTTCTTTTTCTATTTTTTTCACGAAAATTGCAGTAATTTTTGTCTTTTCATTTTTTTTTTAGAAATTTTTTTTATTAATTTACAGAAAATTATTTTAATTATTTGATAAGAATTATTTATTTTAAATTTATATATTTAATTGATAAATAATATTTAACAATATTAAATTATTGAAAAAAATTAGAAAATAAAAAATACATTATACACGCAGAGAAATGATTTATTTGAACCAAATAAAATATATTTGAGTTAAATAAACGCGTATATTTGTCTCAGAGCCTACTAACTTATTTATTTGGCGTAAATAAAAGTTTTATTTGTCAGAAATAAATTTTTCTTTGCCTCAAATAAATTTTTTATTTCAATGAAATAAAATATATTTGCAACAAATAAATGAGTTAGTATAGGCTCGGAGACAAATATACCATTTCTCTGAGTGTAGAAGTATGGATAAAAGAAAATAGAGAATATTTCTCGGAGAATAATTTTTTTCGGGTGAATAAAATTTTTTAATTGACGTAACAAAATTTAACTGTTTAATTTAATGAATTTTAGAATTTTTTAAAAATAATTATTTAATATTTATTTAATAATTAAATTTAATTTTAAATTTTGTTGATAAATTGATTTTTATTTTCAGAATGAAGAACCATGATCATTAGCCAATGATTATGGAATTGCAGTGTCGATTTTCGTGTCGGGCATAATCGGAGCCCAAAACGATGCGATTCTCCCAAAACAAAAAAAAAATGAAGAATGGAGTCTTGAAAATTTTTTTCGAGTGAAACTCGCGAATCAAAAGACGACAATTGTAATATATAAATAAATCTCATCTTTCATCACAAAAAGATGAATTTAAACGATTCAATGATCTCTTCGGCGAGATCCGCTGATGAGATTAAGGATCGTTGCTGCTACTGTCCTGGTGCTTTCGACTCATCATCATCATCATCATCATTATCATTATCATCATTATCGTCTCAGGATTGCAAAATAGCGGAAACATTTTGTAAAGCCTGTCAACGACTCCATAGTTTGCCAATGGAGTCTATTGAAAAAGACTGTTGTTCTTGTTGTTGTTGTTGTTGTTGTAAGTGCCTGGACAAGAATCGGTTCAGACGTCGAAATAATTGTGTGTCGAGGACTAACGTCATTGAAAGTGTTAAGGGACATCGATGTCGAAGTTGTGTGAACGAGGGTCGTTGTTTAAGGTGTGTTTCAAGTGTTGTGAGATGGACCAGTGCCAAGAAAACTGTGCGAAGACTCATTTGGCTGATTGTTCCATTATTGTTGTTGCTGACCTTCGTTTCGCCAAGTATCGCTAAACTTCAGAAATCGAGTGGAAGAATCAATAAGTCCGGTGGTGAGTCCTTTTTTTCTTTTATCAATGATTTTTTTTTTACCATTTTTCCAAACGTTCAAATTGAACCTAAAAATTTGTTTCAAATTTTTTAATTAATAAACAACGGTGAATAATATTTTTGAGCTGAAATTTTTTAGAAATTTTTCCTTTAAATAAAAATTATTTCTATAAAAATCGTTGATCATGTTGTGCGTACTTTATCATTGATGATTTAAAAAATAATTTATTTATTTTTGAATATAGAAATAAATTAAAATTTACAAAAAAAGTAGTAAATAAATTTTTTGTTTATTCGAACGTTGAGAACATTTTTTTTTTAAATTCTTCTTTTTTTAAAAGAAAAACAGATTTTTTATTCGAAATCAAATAATTTATTTTTAAAATATATTTTTAATTGAAAAATTTTATTTGGTGCAAATTATTTGAATCATAAATTATTATTTTTCTTTGAAGCCAATATATTTTTATTTACATAAATTAACACTAATTTAAATACATTGAAAAAAAAATTTATTTGGTTCAAATAATCGATTAATTATTGCCAAATAAATATTCCCTTGAACTAAATAATTTTTTATTTTTTTTTTTGAGTCAATTAAATGGTATTTGTTTTAAATACAATTTATTTAATTGAAATAAATTATTATTATTATTATTTATTTAATTGGAATAAAAATTATTTGCTTCAATTAAATATTTATTTAATTTAAATAAAAATTATTTTGTTCAAGTTAATATTTATTTGACGTATGTAAAAATTTTTTGGTTCAAGGAAATATTTATTTGGTTCAAGTAAAAATTATTTGGTTCAAGTAAATAATATTTGGCTCGAATAAAAATATTTTGGTTCAATTAAATATTTATTTAACTCAAATAAAAAATAATTTGGTTCAAGTAAATTATTTTTTGACTTAAATAAAAATTATTTTGTTCAAGTAAATATTTATTTGATGTTTGTAAAAATTATTTGGTTCAAGTAAAAGTTATATTTGGTTCAAGTAAAAATTATTTGATTCAATTATTATTATTATTGTTATATTATTATTATATCAAAATTATTTGATGTTGGTGCAAAATTTTTGGTTTTGGCAATTTACATGCGAATTCTTCGTTCGCGAGCTTAGTAAACAAAGTTCGTTGAAGAAAAAAAGAGAAAAAAAAAAACTTTTGCGAAGAAAACGTGACAAGCTCTATTCTGACTTGAGAAGAAGAGTTTATAAAGAAAATAAGAGACCGTTTAAAATAAAAGTTAAAGTGACATCTCGCAAATCTGACTTGCAACGTTTTTTTTTCTCTTTTTTTTTTTTTGAGAAAAAGTTACATTTTGAAAGACTCTTTTACATTAAACATGAATGAAGAGGAAAAATTTTCTTCTTTTTTTCCCCTAAATTTTAAATACAATTTTTTAGTATTATTATTATTATTTAAAAATAATATCAATTTTGCAATAAATTTTATTTTTAATTATCATTTTATTTATAATCGCATTCATGTCAATCATAAGGTCATTAAACCAATGAGTAAATTGATATTTTAATTATTCTAGTTTAATTGTAATTATTTTATTGTTGAAATTTTTTTTTTTATTTAAATAATGAATAATATATGAAATTAACGAAATTGTAATGAAAATGAAATTTTTTTTTGATACTTATCTATATATTCACTTCATTGAGCTCGATAATAGATCATTGAGAAAGTTTTATAATCGTTAGTCATGTTTCTCATTATCGTTCGAAGTTCATAGTCTACCGACCGAAAGGCAGACAATGAATATAATAATAACACAGTTCGTTGATTATGAAAACAGAGTAAGCAATTTTGCGAAATATTATAATATTTAGAGTACACGTGATACATAATAACAGTGAATCGGGGGTTTTTTTTTTTGCAATTTTGCAAAAAAATTTTTTTACAAACATACAAATAAAAATAATAAAAAAAAACAACAAATTTATTTATATATTATTTTTTTTATTATATATTTATGATTATAATAATTATTGGTATAATTAATTTAAATTTTGCAATCAAGTGCTTCTCACGTCACATTCATTATTGTTTCGTGAATCGATTGTATCAAAATGTTAAAGGTTGTTTACTCCATAATTATTAGATATTAAAATTGGAAGATAATTAACGTGTGCAGCGAACCAAATGGTCCCTTTATTACAATAATGAGTTAATTGGTCTATAATTTCAGGAAATGATAACGAAGTATTGATGCCAATTACTATAGTTAACATATTTTATGATGAAAAAATATATAATTAATTCGATATTTGCAATTTGGTATACTTTTTTGTTTTTGTTTTTAAATCGATTTTTGCATTTATAATATTATTTTTATTTGTATGTTTGTAATAATTAACATTTTGAAACTATATAATAATTAAAATATTAACAGGCCTCGGATTATACGACTTTTTCGACTATTTCCGACTTTTTTCGACTTATTTCAATAAAATTTTAGTATAAAATGCAAATCTTCTTTATTTCAATTATTTAACAAATTTTTAACTAAAATTCTTCACTAAATTAATTATTTCAAATTATTTGTCAATTAAAATTTTTATGAAATTAAACAATTGTTTATAATTTAAAAAAAATATCAAATAAAATTATCAAAAATTTTTAATTCAAAACCGTAAATCAATTCAAAATCAAATAAAATTCAATTATTTTCAAAAATTTCAATTCAAAATCAACTAAAAAAATTAAATTATTATCGAAAATTAATTATTATCAAAATTTTCAATCAACTAAAATTAAATTATTATCCAAAATTTCAATTGAAATTCAATTATTTTCCAAAATTTCAATTCAAAATCAAAGAAAATTCAATTATTTTCAAAATTTTCAATTCAAAATCTTTTAAAATTCAATTATTTTTTAAATTTTCAATTTAAAATCAAAATTTAATTATTTTCCGAATTTTCCATTCAAAATCAACTAAAATTCAATTATACTCAAAAATTTTTATTCAATAATTATTATCAAAATTTTCAATCAAAAATCAACAAAAATTGAATTATTATCCAAAATTTCAATTAAAAATTCAATTATTTTCAAAAATTTGAATTTAAAAGCCTCTAAAATTTAATTATTTCTAAAATTTTTTTGAAATTTAATAATTTCAATTATAATTCTAAGGAACTTCAAATATTTTTAACTATTTTTGTAATATTCTTTGAAAATTCAACTATATCTGAAACCATTTTTCAATTAAAAATGGTTTTCAAAATTATTGTATTTTTGTCCGCAATTTCTAAAAAAAAAATTTTTTAGTGAAATCATCAAAAAATTTTAATTAAAAATCACTTTAAATTCAATTAATTTAAAAAAATCTCAATAGTAAATCTTTGAAAATTCAATTATTTTTAAAAAATGTTATCTATAATAATATTTGATAAATTATTTTTAGTTCTGTAAAATTTAATTTTCATCTGCAAATTAACAAAATCTTTGTAAATTCAATTATTTCTAAAAATTTCAATTTTAACCCTTACAAAAGTATTATTATTTAAAAAAAAAATTTATTTAAAAATCTGTAAAATATTTTTGTTAAAATAAAAAAAATCGACTTTTTCGACTTTTTTTTGGAATATAAATCGACTAAAACGACTTTTTTTGTGCCTTTAAGTCGATCCGAGGCCTGTATTAATTTAAAAAAAGGGTTTCAATGTCAGTGTTTATCGGAAATAAAAATTGCAATGATTTTTTTATGACTAGGGGCATAAATATATATATATAGAGAGAGAGAGAAATAGTTGGTATATATACACTGACATGCGTGATTATCAACAAAGCAAGATTGGTTGTGCAAAATGATTTCATCCGGTACTTCTTTCCTCTCACGTTATGTTGTTGGAAGTGTTATTTGTACCACTGACAATTCAATGTTTTTTTTTTTCCTCTCGCGCTTTTCTAATTGTCTTCTCTTCTATTGTCATATAATATATCATAATAATTTCAAGTAACTAAAATTTAAAAATTATTTTTTCCATAAAAAAATTTTAATTTTTTATTTTATGAAGAAAATTTTTTATAAAATTGTTTTTCAAAAATTTGCTTTTGTATTTGTGTTTTAAAGAATAATAAATGATGGGTGTAAAGGTGAGCGCGCGAGAAAGAGGAAAAAAAACAGTCTGAATGATGTAGCACGTGTCGCGGGATAAGAACGAGGTCATTAATTGGTGACGGAATAACACAATCGTCAGTTGCGTTTGACTAAATTTTACATTCCTAAAGTACTGGGATTTTTACTAAATAAAATAAAAAAAATAAAATAAAATAAAACAGAAGGAAAAGAAAAAAAGAAAGAGAAAAAAAACATTGAATTCTCATATAAGGTTTGCGTACTTGGTTTTTAGGCGCACGTGTAAAGCGGATTTAGTACACACACTGTTTCCGGGGCGGAAAGAGTAAAATATATCACCCAGTCGTGACTCGTTGGATCTTTTTCCCCCTTCCGTTTCTCTCTTCATTAAATTCTTCCTACGTTTTTTTTTTTTTTTTGCGTTTGAATCTCCCAACATTTCTGGTATATCATTCCCACTTGGAAAGATTCCCCGGAAAGTGCCTCCTGGAGGTTCTATCAGAATTACGCCGGAACTTCCAATGTAATTCCGTTGGAATTCCATCGGAGTTCCGAATAATTTCCGATGGGATTCCGACGGTATTCTGACGGAATTAGGACTATAAAAATTTTGAAAAAAAATTAATCTGAATTCCGTCGGAATTACGTTGGAAGTTCCGGCGGTTCGGGGTTCGAATCCCCGCAAAATAAAAAAAAATCCATATTAAATAATTTTTAAAAATATATAAAAGGTAAACCCACTTGGAAAGATTCCCCGGAAAGTGCCCCCTGGAGGTTCTATCAGAATTCCGCCGGAATTTTCAACGTAATTCCGTCGGAATTCCGATTAATTATTTTTCAACATTTTTAGAGTTCTAATTCCGTCGGAATCCCATCGGAAATTCTTTGGAATTCCGTCGGA